AGATTTACAAAAACATCTTTTCCAATTGTTAATTCGTGAATGGCTTGAAGCTGTTCGAACTTAGGACTAAAATTATATTTACATTTTTTTAAGGCATAACTAACGGCATTTAGAAAAGCCGGTCCAAAATTATCTTTGTATTTCAAGTGGAAACTACCTTCCACCGCGCTCTCCGCCATCTTGGTAATTGTATAGGACTAGGTAACCTCGTGATTACCACATCGGTGTGGTAATCACGAGGTCGCTAAGGTGACATGCGCATGCAAGTTATACTGGACTCTCTTTCCCCAGCGATTCCGCGAGCGTCGGAAACGAGAGGCCAGGACTGGACTATACAGGACCTTAAGATCATTAATATTTTTCCTACTTTTCCTCTTTTTATTTATGAGTTTCTTTTTCCTTTTTCGTCTGTTTTTGCGGGTTCTTATAACGCGGGAAAACAAAAAACAAAAACAAATCACTTTTGGAATGCACTATGCATGCATACATAATAACATTCAACGGTTTTTGAAATAGCTGTATACAGAATGGTTGTAGTGAATACTTCAGTTTCGAATTCTCTTTTGTGCAAGCTTAGCTTATTCGATCAAGCATAACGTTTTATTGTCTTCTTTGTAGACAGAGTGTTTGTATTATAATAGAAACTCTGCCAAATAAAAGAATATCAATGATGTTACATGCTTTGGAGGTTAAGGCCGTTAAGGCTGCACAAATAAGATCTCGAAACTGGAGTATTATGGTAATAATCGCACAATGCAAAACAATTATGCATAAGGCGATTAGCCTTCCAAATATTCTTTAGAATAATGTATTGATTTTTGTGGATTTTTTCAGCATTTTCTCCAAACAAATACACAGCATTTCTTACAATGTTGAACATTCAGTGGTTCTCGTAACATKTGAAAAATACTATAAATTTCAAAGTGCAATATTGTGTGACCCACCGAAAAATAATATGCTCAATGACATAAACACAAAGCGTAGTATATGCTTCAGCTGTGTATGAAGGAAAACCAACACACCTCTAATGAATATTTTTGGAACTCACAGTTCTATCCAACCTACTGATGAAACCAGTCCTTTTTGATAGTTTCTATCTCTTTAGACAGTCTCTCAACTTCACCTCTCAATCTTGCATTCTCTCTGGACAACTTTTCCTCTTCTGCAAACAACTTCTCCTCTGATTCTCTTTTCCTTTTCCTACATTTTCTGGAACTCACTCTATTTTGTTCGCGTCGTTTTTCCTTTTCATCTGAGTTTTGCGAAGTGGATGATTGCAAGACTTGACCATTGTTGGCCTGAATCACCACAGGGTTCCAGTTGTTGGAATTTTCCAGATCAATGTCACACAGGTCAACATGGCCACCAACATCTGCCAGGGAAGGCTGGATGGGCTGGATGGCCTGAATCACCACAGGGTTCCAGTTGTTGGGATTTTCCAGATTGGGTTGGATTAATACCACTGGAACCATAGCCAATGCAACCGCAGCATTCACGGGTATCGTACTAAATTGGCTAGTCACTTGGTGAAGTACAGTTGGAACTGCACCATCACTAGTACTAGAGGTGTTAACTTGGGCACCAATAGCTGATGGGTGACCATTTGAAATCTGTCCACTACCAGTTGTCAACACGTCACCGACTGAGTTTGATTCACAATTGATTTCGTGAAGTGAGCGACAATGATTGCCAGAAGTACATGTCCTTGATTCCATGTCAACATTATCTCCATCTGGTATCAAATGATCACCATTGTTGACTTCGGAATGCATATTTGTTGGTGAGGAGATGATGGGAGTATCACTGATACCAACTTGGTGGTTTACACTTGGAACAGTAACCTCATCAATGTCAGACAGGTTAACATGGCCACCAACATCTGCCAGGGAAGGCTGGATGGGCTGGATGGATGGTGCACTTGCTATATCGGACATTGCAAATATGCTTTCTAACTCAGGGTTGGTGATTTGTGGTAGAGAATGGTGTAGACTGTTTATGAGGTCATCTATGGGATTCTGTATATTTTCAGGTGACGACATGGTACCATCTGAATATGAATCACAAATGACTTCAGTGATAGAATCTGGACCTGGGACGTTGGTGTGGCTGCCTTCAGGAACAGTTTCTGGACCTGAAACGTTCATGTGGCTGACTTCAGGGACAGTATCTAGACCTGCAACATTCGTGTGGCTGCTTTCTTGAAGAACAACATCTCCAACTGGTAACAAATTATCATCATCATCGGGATACAGATATGTTGAATAAGGCATGATGACAATATCACTGCCACCAACTTGGTCGGTCAAGTGGCTTACACTAGGAATGGCACTTCCACTAAGGTTAACATGACCACCATTATCTAACAGGTTAGGATGGTCTCTATCACCTACTATTGTGGCTTGGTTCTCATCAGGTGAATAATGAAGATCATTGCCAAAGTCACTCCAACTAGCAGTGCTATTAAAATTATGACTTTCCTCACTGTGTGTTCCATTCCTTATAATGTCAATGATTTTGTCAAATGGGGGTTGAAATTCTACTCCCTGAAGTCCTGTGTCATGACTGGAGTCGGAAAAGCTACATGTAGAACCATAAGTATTGGAGGTGTCATCATGTTCTTCTGGGATACCGTCTTTAGAAACCACTTCATGGTTTTCCAAGAGTTTCTGAAAGTTGACAACATGATGGGTCACTGATTGATACACCATTTTACATTTTACAATTTTACATTACGTCGTTATGGTAAATCATTGACATCACTGGAAAGAGCGTCATAAAATCAGCTAATTTGCCAAGGTTGAAAATAATCTGATAAAAAATCAAAGAGATACGGCACTTCAAAAACACTAAATTTTGCTTAGAAATGTTTGGCGAGGTTGTAATTAGTCAAGGTCACCTCGATCTCATGCAAATTTTGGACTTTTTTAAAAACGCTGTATCTCAGGCAAAGAACAAACTAAGATAATGTTTCCAGAATGAGTGATAACCCAGTTTATCTCCTTTCTCTGAAAGTAATATCATATTAAGTTGAATTTTCATCGAATCATGCTCAAACCTATACTAATTTTACACTGTTCTTTGCAGTGATGGTAATCGTTTTTCGTTTTTTTCTCAATTTCTAATAGCTGTGTTATTGTTTTGATTAATAATTCCGTCAGCAGAAATCAGTGAAACTCTATTTTTGAATTCAAAGCAAATACAGTAAACACCTGAACATAAGAAAGAACTGACTGTGCATGTATAACTGCTGTTTTATTCGACAGATTCAGCAGATTCTTTTATGCAAAGATCTAACCAAACATACACCAAAATTCTAAAAGTTTAAACTTTTTTTGCTGTTTATTTGTTTAAGTTTTTCGTTTTTGCTTTTGAGTTAAAATTCTCAAGTATTCCCAGAAAAACTTTAAAAACCTAAGCCCTTTTGGGAAAACAATTAAAGGTAAATTGGTCTTGTTCTTGGGTAAAATTCAAATTTTCTATGTGTATTATTGTAATAGCGACATTTGTTTGTGTTTTCTTTTTTGTTTGTTTGGTAACGCCTTTATGCAAGAGAATCTGCTGTCAAACAAATCAGCGGTGTTTTGCTTGGAATAGAAAATAGAGTATATTGCATGGACAACATTCCATCCCATTATGTATAATACATGTATAGCACATCTCCTCCCAGGGATAATACCTTGTCTTTTTCTTCACTGCCAATAATATCATTTCTATGCCTCAGTATGGATTCCCCAGACGGAAAGACAATGACATCCCTGAAAATAGACACCATATTAAAATACTCTTAAGTGCCTTAATGATTGAAGTTTATATTTACAATTATTACCAATCAAAAAAATCAATTCATACAGGGTCCGTGCAGACCAGCATCAAAAACCAAATTTAAGACTCTTCAAGGACTTTTCAAGGACCAAAATTGTATTTTCAAGGAACATCATATAATCATGCTGATTGAACATTCTTACCTCAAAAACTTCAGCTGAACGGAATAWTTCAGAGATCGCTAGCACTTCTTGATAGAGATCCAATTTTTTCAAGGAGTTTTTTGAAATTTTCAAATTTTCAAGGAGTTTCAACACAGGGAGCACAGGATCTTTATCAGTGGCCCTTACATGCCACAAAATCCGCCATACTGGATGGCAAAAGAATGTAAACAACCTCAAAAACAAAAGGAACGTAGCCCATCAAGCTTGACTTTTCTTTGTTTTGAAAATCCCAGTGGGTTTTTTGCCATCCAGTATATGTGTTATTGAATCGAGAATTTCTCGCTTGAATTTTAATA